CCTAGGCTCTGTTTCTAGGCTGGTTTCCTTTTTTTACTTAACACCCCCGAGGTTCGGGCAGCGTGTCCCTGTCAGTACATCTCTGTCTCCCTCTCAGCTGGGTGGAGGACCAGACACTGTGCACTAAGCATGTAGACACGATGCACTTAGAGCAGTGCCCAGCGTGCTATAGGTGCCATAGAAGTGTAGATGCCAACTGTCATCTCGACGTGGACAGTCGGCTGCCAAAGGTTTCCCAGCCAGACATTCTTTCAGGAGTCCCCATACCTGCTTTAGGTCCGTAGTCTGCCCAGGTCTAGTTGCAGTGGTTTCTACAGTAAGTGTGAGGGACCAGGGTGTGATGTGAATCTTGCCACTTCTTTTCGAGTTTTCTCATGTTCTTTTAAATTTTCTGCTTTTTGAGTCCATTTTATTCTCTTTATGTACATGCACATACCTACACAGGGTCTACACTGTAGCTCAGGTGAGCCTGTGACTCCCTGTGCAGCCCACCCAAGCTTGCCTCTACCTTAGACCAATCCCCCCTGGCTGCAAATACAGGGGTCAGCCACCATGCTGGGCTTATCTTGTATATTTTTAAATAAGGACATAGCCACAATTTATAAATGGTGAGACACAAGTGTACATTTTAATAAAATAACGTAAAGTACGTATGTTGGCTGAAAAGCCTTATCACTGATAAAGGGTGGCGAGACTGAGTTTAGGGACTCCTTATTCTTTCTCTGTGCCCAGGTGAGCCTGGCAGTCCTGTAGCCCAGACTGTCCTGGGCTCCTGCTCCTGCTCCACACGGGGCCTGTGGATTTCTCTGCATCGCATTGCTTATCTCTTTCTTGTTCCTCCAGATCCTCCTCATTCTCTAGCTTCCTTTCTTACCCAGAAGTTCACCTTAAATGGCTTTTATCCCATTGCCAGAGACAGTTCCAAGTCCCAGCTTGAATGGGGTCCTCCCTGGATGTTCTCTGCAGGACTTAGGCTCGCTCGGCCCCTGCTGTTTTCTGCGTGCTTGTCTGCGTGTTGAGTCTTCCATGGCCACGCCTTTAAAGCAGCTCTCACCCGCCGACTTCGTTTTGAACTGTTTTGGCATTTCTCTCTCATGTATCATTTATCTGTAGACACATACCTACACTTTTTAAATGACATTAATATACCTTTTTTTTTAATCACCATGATATATAATTCTTTACTCTAAGGAAAATGTTCATTTGTTAACTCCGTGATCCGATCTCCTTGTATTTGGCAGTGAGCTTCAGCTTGGGGCACATGTCTGTCTGCTGCACACTGATGAGATTTGTGTGTGTGTGTGTGTGTGTGTGTGTGTGTGTGTGTGTGTGTGTGTGTGTGTAGATTGCTTTCTTTTACTCTCGGTAACATAAAGTCACAGTTTAAGTGTTAAATGCAGCTAGAGTCCTGAGTTCTGCATGGTGTTCTGGGAGGGCCTGCTGGCGGGAGGAGCTGTGAGGCACACAGAGCAGGGCCCTGCCTCCTTGCATGTGGACATCATTGTTGTAGACACCATCAGACTCGGGGTCAGAGGGTAGACATCCTTTAAAAAAATCTTAGTGTGTGGCACGCTCGCATGCGTATGTGTGAGTGCTATGTGGTGCAGGTGCCTCTAGAGGTCAGAAGAGAGCATTAGATCATTTGGAGCTGGATGTACAGGTGGTTGTGAGTCACCTGATGTGGGTGCTAGGAACCAAGTGCTCTTAACCACCGGGCCATCTCTGCCTGCCCCGTTGGTTTAAGCCTTGATACTATCACCCGCTGTTTGGATTCAATTAATTTCTTTGACTTCTCAGGTCATTTAATTATCTTGGTAATCTAAGTCAGAGTCACGAGGCGTCATTGGGCTAGTGTTTTAGGACAGTGCTTTCTCCCTAGAAGGCTGCCCCTACTGTCTCTTTAACAGAGGAGCCCACTCCTTCCCTTGTGAACCCTTTGATACAGTGTTTTTAGTAAAAACAGACCCAGAGGAGGGTGTACTAAGCTTAGGTTTGAGGATGTTGGGTTGGCCTGCTTTCTGCCTTGTCTCTTCTAGAATGTCTGTGGCTTCCCCAGAGAGTATAAAGATTAATTAGTTAATGTTTGTAAAGTGCTTTAAGGTGGAAAGTGCTATGTAAGTGGAATGGTTGAATTGCCATTGGAGATGTAATAATGATGGCACCATAGTCTGGCAGTCTTGCCTGTCTCAGACATCAATAATCAATAGCAGAAAGTTCTAAGATGTTTTACTTGATTTGAAAGAAAGGATTCAGTGTGCCGTTATGATAACGCAGTTCTTTCTGTGGTCCTGCAGATAGCCGTTTGCTGCTGCTTCTCAGCTGAGGAATGCTGGAGTCCTTTAGGAAGCAATAGTTGGGCTTGGGGCAGGGAGATGGCTTCATCAGTAAGGTGCTTGCTCTGAGAGCATGAGGGCCTGAGTTTGATCCCTCTGAAAAAAAGCCAGGCACAATGGTGTATGCCTGTAGTTCCAGTGCTGGAGAGACAGAGATAGGAGGACACTTGGCCAGTTCTAGCCAAACTGGCCAGCCCCGGGTTTAGTGGGAGACTCTGACTCAAAAAAATAAGGTAGAGAGCAACCGAGGAAGATGCTGGATGTGCCCCCCCCACACACACACACAGTGGTCATCTTCAGGACTTTCCTGCTAAGGCAGTCCGATTATAAATTCTGACCAGCTTAGATAGAGGGGCAGCTGGCCAACTGGGCACAGACTATTTCCAGTCTAATGCACGTAAGTGAAGGAGGAGGATTTTATGATTCTACAGTGACTGGAACCATAACGGCTGAAGAGGTGCAGCATCTGTGTGCCCCTGACCGGGCCACCTCTCTGAGCTTGCTTTTCTTAACTGTTAGATGGCAGCGTGGCAGTTAGGGAATACAAAGGTGGTGAGTTTCATCTTTTCTGGGAAAGTTGAGGGTTCAGGAAAGGGTTCTTAGGTATACCAACAGTCTATGTCTAGGTTGAGTGGAGCTGTAATTGCCCGGTTACGAAGGGCAGCTGGAGTGGTAGTTCACTGGGTTAGGAAACGGTAGGTGCCTGCAGCAAAAGGAATATCACATGGATACACAGGGACCAGTGCTCCCAGTGCCCCATTCCCAAATGCATAGTGTTCCCAGTACCCTGTGGTCTGTGCAGGCTTGCTTCCTGTCTTAGTCAGTGTTCCATTGTTGTGAAGAGGCACCATGACCATGGCAACTCTTATAAAGGAAAGTGTTTAAATGGGGTGCTTACAGTTCAGAGGTTTAGTAGACTCATTGTCATCATGGTGGGAAGCATGGTAGGACACAAGCAGATATGGTGCTGGAGAAGTAGCTGAGAGTTCTACATCTGGATCAGCAAGAAGCAGGAAGAGAGAGACACTGGGCCTGGCTTAAGCATCTGAAACCTCAAAGCCTGCCTCCACTGACACACTTCTTCCAACAAGGCTACAACTCCTAATAGTGCCATTCCCTGGTGACCAAGCATTCAAATATAGGAGCCTATGAGGGCCATTCCTGTTCGAACCACCACAGTCCCTATCCTAGGAAGCCTGGAAGTCGTATTTCTGTGTATCTGCCTTAGTGTCTGCCAGCAGGCTGAACCTAAGAACGTACCCCTGCAGAGCCCCATATGTCTCTGCTCTCTTGACATTTCTGCCATCATCTCGGGCTGTTTCTTAGCTGACACTGGAAGCCATATGTTTCGTGTGGGGCCAGATGAAGCTTTGATACCAAACACAGTAACTTTGTCTTGGATTTAATATGCATTACGTGGTGTTTTGTTTCTTAAGCAGAGTTTTTCTTTGTTAAAATAAACACAGATAAAGAATTTATATGGCGCACATGGTTATGCATATTTATTGCAGAGAATCTGTTAATAATCTATGCCTCGTCGGATTTTGCAATTCTGTTGGAATAACAAAGGCAGCACTTGGTACAACTGAATGAATTTGGTGCGATCTCTGTTATCCGGGGAACGAAAGGCCGTTGCTCCTTTTCCAAACCCCATTTCCTCCTGTCATCTGCCCCATTGGCTGGCTTCCCACACGGGGCTGGGGAACTGAAGGCATTTCTGGCTCCAAATGGCTCTACAATTTTCTCCTCTCACTCTCTTCCTTCTAGCACACAGATACGTTTGCCTTGGACTGTCAGGATTGCTCCTTTGGGTAAGGAAGGAGTCCTTCTGTTACCAGGAGGAGCAAACAAGAAACCAGCATTGAGTTAGGGGGAAAGCTCGAAGAGATTTGAGGAATGGGAATCTTCAGTCAGGACACAAGGCCCCTGGATTGGGTAGGAGGGAGGAGAGTTGAGACCAGGCATCTGGGCAAAGCAGAAGGAGGGGGTGGTGGGTCTGGGAGAGAGTGGGTGGGCCACCAGCATGGCTGGCATTTACCCATGAAGTCATCTCTATGCAAGAGTATCATAGGCTTGAGACTCTCCTCTGATTCTGGCTCTGCTGTTCTCGACTTGTTGGTTCTTGGGGGAGTCCTTTAGCTTCTTCGAACCTCAATTTCCACTTACGTGAACAGATGAAAATTCAAGGTTTCCTTCTTTTCTTAAAAAAAAAAAAATCTGTATGTATGTGTGTGCGCGCATGTGCACACGCATGCACATGCATGTTTGTGAGAGTGTGGGCCCATGTGTGCCATGGTTACAGGACAGTCTCGGGTGGCCTTCCCCTTCTCCCTGGTTTGAGGCAGTCTCTTGTTTACTGCTGTGTGTGCCAGGCTACCTGGCCTGTAGGCTTCCGAGCACTCCCCTTCTTTGCCTCCCATGTCTCCTTAGGAGTGCTGGGATTGCAGATGTGAACTCCCTCATCTGATTCTACATAGGTTCTGGGGATCTGAACTCAGGTCCTCATACTCATGATGAGGAATCTGAGCCATCCCCTCAGCCCAATGCTCATGTTCTTTATTGGAACATAATGAAATAAACATTCACAATTTTACTAGTAACCCATTGCTTACCCTTGAGAGCATCTCTGGAGAATGTAGCCTTCATTCAAATCATGTTTATTTGCAGAAACTGGCAAGGTGTTTACCTGGGGCCGAGCAGACTATGGCCAGCTAGGGAGGAGGTTGGAGTCTTCTGAAGAAGACCAGAAACCTGGCGAGCAAGACTCATCATTCACCTTCTGGAGGCCACAGAGCAGTGTGCCCTCACCTCTGCATTGCCTGACAGGAGCAGCCAAGGTAAGTGGAGACTTCCCACAGAGGCAGTGTGGTGCTTTCCTTGTCTCACAGTGAAGTGTTTCCTGAGGGCCTACTGTGCGCCAGGTGTTAATGATCTGTTCATATAGGAATCTGAAGGGGTCCTTGTTCACAAGAACCTGGTTTAATATGGTAGAAAAGTTGGGTTTTGGTTTCCTAGGTGTCCATCACCATAATGCAGACTGTGTAACTCATTTAAGGAGGTTCAGAGTCCAGTATTCCAGGTCTCCTGGCAGGAGAACTTAAATTCAGTTGGAGGGATTGGCTTGGATTTGAGAATGACGTGGGTTTGAGTATGCCCCGAGGGATGGATGGGACTCGAGCAAGCATTTGGAAGAGAGAGGGGGACTTTTAGGGACGTAACAGCTTGAACAGAGTCGTATGGGGTGGGATGTGAGGAAACATATGGGGCTGCTAACAGTTAAATTGGCTCGGGCTTGGAGCCCTGAGGAGGTAATGTCAGAGTTGGAGAGTGGCTCCTCCAACCGAGGAGGCCTTAAATGTGAGCTAAATATTCTGCACCTCTGTTTATATTTCCCAGTGAAGAAAACATTGTCGTCCACTTGCTTATTCAAGCCATTTTGGTTCTCTGGAATGTCCTGAAGTTCTCCATTTAAGGCAGGAATCTTAATTTCTCCAGGGTGTATGTTTCTGTCACTAAATTTTACTTTACTGGTGTCTTTTTGTTGGTTTGTTTTCCAACATAATGTTTTTATTGAATATTTGGGAATTTCACATCATGCACCCCAATCATTCACATCCTAGTCCTCCTAGGTCTGCCCCCACCCCTGCAACTCCTACCCCACCCCTGCGACCAACACCCCCCCCCACACGCGCATGCACGTCTTCCCACCTCCCCCCCAAAAAAATGAGAAACAATAGCAACAACAAAGAACAAATCCAATTTGTGTTTCCCATATACTCAACTAGAGCATGGTCAGACTCCCAGTGGGCAGCCCCTTAAAGAAATCTGAGTTCAAAACTGAGTCCTAGGGGATTTAGAAGAATGGACATTAAGAACCGTGTCTCTGAACTAGAGTTAGTTTAATGAAGGAATTCAGTCTTCATTCAGAGTCTATCAGAAAAATTAATAAACTAGTAAGACTTCTGTAATTAGCACGAGGCTAATTACAACCCTCTCTACACCTGGAGGGCTTCCCCTCCGCAGGGCCACCTGGCTACCTCCTTCTGGGTTTGTAGGATGGTTCTGTTTATTCTTCACATCCTACCCGTCATTCTCCTGAGCCCTTCCTCGGTGCAAGCTTGAGGCTTTCCTTTTCTTTCTTCGTCTCCCTTGACTGATAAATAGCACCATAAAGACAGTGTGTACACAGCAATAATAGTAATCCCACTTTCAGTCTCCACCCTAATAAAGTGCATTATTTTTGCAGGTGCATGAGTTCATACCTGTAAAAGGTCATAGAGCTAGTATTTGAGATTCCGGTCTTTGTTTACTACAAATGCTGTTTCGTTTCCTCTTGGTCTTAGCATGATTATTTAAAACAACTACAAAGAGCCAGTGAGATGGCTCTGTATGTAAAGAAGCCTGCCACCAAGGCTTGCTGACCTGAGTTTGATCCCCAAAATCCACATAGTGGAAGGAGGGAACTGACTCCCTCAAATTGTCCTCCGACTTCCATTCATGGGCTCTAACGTACAGGTGACCACACACACACACACACACACACACACACACACACACACACGCACACAATGAATAGACTTTCACAGAAGTTTTTTTTAAAGGCTGTCAAACATTACTGACTAGAAGGTTCTGAGACTTTGTAAACCATTCTTCAGACAGTAATTTCCTTTTTTATTTTATTTATTTGTTCGCGTTACTACCATTGAACTGTGCTGTAAAAGGTGGTTGAACTGCTTCCTTAAGACAGACTCTTGGGGGTGAAGTTCCAGGGCAACAGCCTTGAGCATCTCTGTGATGTCTACTGGACTTCTCTAGGTTCTGTTTGGCTGTGCGTGAGTGAGTGAGAGAATGGAGTCTTTAACCTCGTCTGCGTAGTGTGTTCAGCTGCAGAGGGCCTGGTGCATAGTGGGGTGGTCTTTGGCATTCCTTATCCCTCTTGTATTGTTTGAAATTTTGGGTGGCCCAGTAGCAAAGGTACTGGAGCCTCATCCGTGTCTCTGTCTCTGTTCTGCTGGCAAGATGCAGGTCATAGTTCCGGAGGGGGACCTTACACAGGGTGTTGGTGAGGATAGCATGCACAGTTCTTGGCAGGCAGTGGGGATTTAGTTACCTTCTCTTCTGCAAGAGGCATCCCATGACCTGGGGTGGCCCAGTGTGCCACGCTGCTGTGGACACAGACAGTACCAACATGGCCCTTGTGAACCTGATAGGACTTGACTGGGTACAGGTACTGGGGTTGAACCTAGGGCCTTGTTGTGCTTGTACGTGCTAGGCAGGTGCTCTGCCACTGAGCTATATCTCCAGTCCTTTTTTTTTTTTTTTTCTCACTTTTTATTTTGAGATAGTTTCTCACCAAGTTGTCTCTACAGGCCTTGAACTCATGATTCTCCTGCCTTGGCCTTTTAAAGAGCTGAGATTGTAGGCCTGCGCCACCAGGCCCAACAGGTGTGACTTTTAGGAGCAAGATAAGGGATGGGCCTGAATCCTCGCCCCCTTAGCAGCTTCATTGGGAGCTCTCTTCTCTGCTCCAGGCTCTGGGGCTGATGTGTGTCCTCAGGTCCTTATGCAGGTTCAGGCTACCACATGCTTGTAAACTGGGTTTGTGTTGTCTCCTGTCCATGCCTACGTCTGGCTTCTTTAGCGTCTGTTTGCCAGAGGCCCAGGGAGAGTGAGGTTGCTAGGCTGGTAGAGGCTGGTAGGTTTGGGGCAGATTTGTCTTAGAGAAGACAAAAGCCATACGAAGCTAGATGCTACCATGGTCAGGGACTTGGATGGGGTGGGGATGTAGGGACATCTGGAGAGGCATGAGCATCCTGGGGTAAGCTGACAATTCCTGACCTTAAGGGATCTAACTGTGGCACACACAGCTGACCACTGCCTTTAATTTCCATAAATTACTCTTCATGTCCAAAGGGTAAGAGGAAAGAGTGAGTTGTGTGTGCTGAGGCCTCAGAGACCTGAAGAGAAGGATCTAGAACAAGAGCCCAGTCCGGAGGGGAAGCATGGGCAGGTGGAGCTGAACTACAGGATAACCTTCTTTTTTGGAGCAAGCACAAGTGAACACACAGTTGCTAGAAATTCTTACGGGCCAGTGTGCTGGATGCTTAATGGGTGCGTCTCATCTTCATAGTGAGTCTGCGCATACTAGTCAAAGCTTTATGAATAAGGAGTGCAAGGCCCAGGATGGGGTCTTAAAAGTAGAGCAGGACTCAAGGTGCCAGCGACACTTGCATCCCTTCTCTTCATGTGAAGCACATCCTTTTAACATGAGCCCTTTCCTGGATGGAAGTTTCTGCAGTCTGGGTGGCAGAGCCTCTCAATACCCTGAAGTCTAGATTCTTTTATTCTGAGTGATGTCTCCTCTGGGGATGGAGTTTACTTGAGATTACAGTCTGGGTGGACTTCCTTTAACATGGTGAGGTTGCGTGTCTCCCCCACTATCTGTTTTTACATTCTGGTTCTCTCTAGCCGCCTTTGGCCAACTCCAGGGTTGCACAGTGGTCAGGACTCGCCTCCATGCGCACATCAGCACAGTGCATGAGCGACTTTGTTTGCTTGAGACTGAGTACACATCACAGCGGCCTTTTGCTTCCTAAGCCCCAAGTGGGATGTTGCCCATTTCCCATGGGCACTGGCTCTGACCTGCACCCCAAGGTGGAACCCTGTATTTCACAGTTGGGGAGAAGTACTTGGGCTCACTTAGCGGGTGCATAGGGGCCTCGGCAGCTGGAGTTGATAACCTGGCTTGCCTTTGGGGACCTGGGGTAAGAACCAGACTGTGGCTTAGTGTTGGGTCTTACTCTGCCCTCCCTGACTGTGCATTTGGGTAAGTTCTTTTCCTCCTGTGGTCTTAGTTTCCCAGGATGTGGGTTGGTCCAGATGATTCTGACAGGTTCTGTAGATCTAAGAGTCTCTTTCATCTCTTTCTCTTATTTCTTGGCTGTGATACTCCTGAAGCTCATGATGACTTTGGCTTCTGGTGCTCCTGAGTTTTGAAGCCCAGGTCACTAATCCCAAGCTGCAGCTCGACCCTGGCAGACCTGGGGATGCTAGTTCCTCTAGAAGCTCTGGGCTTCAGTGCCACGCTGGCTTGCTTTGTCTCTGTGGCCTCTCCCATTGTTTCCGGTCCGGTTGGGCTGAAGGACCTAAGCCGATGCTCTGCTGCCCATGCAGCCCTCAGAAGGGCACCTGCTCTGTCCTGTTTGGTGCCTTCTCTCTCTGCGTGCTCTACCCAGGGCTTGCAGCTCTGCTTTGGCTTCTATGCCTGTGCTTTGTTGTTATGCCCTGTGCAAACCCAGGGACCCTGCCCTTCTGGGGTCCTGGTTAGCACCCCCGTGCATGCGTGCATGCATGCGTATGTTCTACCTTTCCCACTCACCTGGGTCTCGCTGACATTTCCCTCTTTTCTGTCCTTTCCCTTGTCCACTCCATAAGCGTTGGCGTTCAGAGAACTTCCCAGTACCCGAGTAAACATGGCACTGTGCGGAGTGAAAAGTGTTGTAGAGAAGGGCAAGGAAGCGGTGAAGACAGGGTGGTTAGTGCTGAGAGCACTAGCAAAAAGGAGTTGTTGTTTGACCCAGGTTCTCCAAACCAAGTGGGTGTGTGGCAGACACACTGCATGCCGGCCAAGTGAGTGTGAACTAAAGTTGCCATGCCTTCCTGTGCCTGAACACAAGTCTGCTTCGTACCTGCCTGTCTGGCCTGTCCCATTCCCTGGCACAGTAGCAGAGACAAAGCACATTCATACCTTGACTCATTTGATGCCAGCATGGTGCTGTGACCTAGGCCTCAAGAGGAATGATTATTTCCATTTACAGTCAAGGACACTGGGGCCCGA